GTCGAATATCTCAAATTGGGCGACAAAATTCTTCATATGATTAGCTTCACTCCAGTCTATCGCACCTTTTTTTATGCAGAGAAAAATTCATCATACAGTCCGTGTTAAACGAATTCTGTGTCTCGTTTCGTATTCTATTAATCTCCATTGGATAATGGGTGCACTTTATACGGTTTAAAAAATAGAAACTGATTCATTGTCAATTTCTTTACTCCTACAATAATGCAAAACGATCATCAAGAATATCAAGAGAGATCTTTTCTTCTATCTGATTCGAAATATCAATCTGGGTGTAGATGGGTGAGGGTGGGGCTGAAGAGAAGACTAACTCTGACATCCATCCTCACCCATACCTATGCTTACCCCACCCACCTACTCTTACCCTCAATAGATCATACCTGGTCTGTCCTTCTATGAACGAGTTCATTTTGAATGTTTTATCTTTTTAGTTTTGTCGAAAGATATGAACAAAAGGTCCTTGAGAAGTTATCTGTCAGTTCGTTGATGAACTTGATCGAATGTCTCATGTCATATTTGCTTTTTTGTTAAGAAACCATATCACTTGCAGAAGATTTGAATAGTGGCGTAACCAGAAATTTTCGCGAGAGGGGGGGGGGGCTCAGTCTTCAGCTGTATTTCTATGCTCTTCCAAACATTAATCTTTTTCTGTTTCAGTTTTGACAATGCTAACTTCTAAAGCATACTATCACACACAAGACACAAGACTGTGTGTCCGCACCAGCTATTCCAGACGAATAATCGTTTATAGTGATATGCGTATAATTTTGATAGCGAGGCGGCTTAAAATGTCCTAAATGTCTGCTCATGTCTCGAACATCACAGAAAATTGGCGATTAATCGAGACGATAATCGCGCGCTAAATCGCAATTAATCATCGTTTTTTTGCAGATTTGTCCAGAGTTTTTTACGAGAACACATCAAAACTAGATGTGTTTGCTTTGCTGAGCTAATGGCGCCAACCGTCTGACTGGATCCAGGAGAAGGATAATCCGTGCACAAAAAACGATTCCATCATTTCTTATAAAAATGTGATTTCAATGATTCAGCTGACAAAACTGAAAATGGTTGGACGAAAACAACGCAGAGTAGCTATATAATGTTCCTGAACTCGAATAAGTTCTCAGGGATCTATGGCTATAATATATACTCGAGATATTCCCGGGAGAAGTATGCCATGCAAAACTGGCGATTAATCGCGAAATTTTATGAACATACTAATTTTGTGAATATCGTACAAATATCACCAACTGGTTATATGATTCACGGGTACTCGAAATAATAATTCAGCAAAAGATCACGACTAATCGCAAAAAATGTTGTGATTTTTTCTGTACGAGTGGTGCGGAGTTCAGGCGCCTGAGCTCCCTCTAAAAGAGAAGTTCGTGGCGCAATTTAGCTGGCACAGTCACGACTGGTGAGAGGCTCAAAGCTTTGGTGAAGGGACTGAGTCACCTCAGGCGATCCTTTGGTTACGCCACTAATTTATTCACTGTTTGATGTGATACTCGATTGATTCTGTTCGATAATTCTACCTCGAATTCGATTCAATATTCGAGCGCTCTATATCGAACCCATCTCGACAGAACGCATTCTTTTCGCTTGTTTGTATTCTAATCTTGAAATGCTCTTTATTCTTGAATTTGAACCTCATGTAATATTGCGCTATTTAAAAGGTAAAATATCCTTGATTAGAAATATTCTTGGATCAATTGATACTTTAGATGTATCATCTATAAATCGTTTATTCAAAGAACAGATGGGTATGGGCGTGTGTGGATACGGGGTGCGGCTGCGTGCTTTCTATTCATCCACATCTATACCCACACCCTTTTTCACTATAAAATGATCACATATTTCATTATCTTTCAATCTTTTATTCTTAGCGGATTGTAAAAAGGCGTGAGAATTTATAGAGAAAAAAGGCCGATTTCAACTACATTTCAACATAATTTGAGGGGACAGTATTGTAAACATTGATGAAAATACGTAAAAGAAAAAGTTTTGCTCCAGCAACACCTATAGGAAAACATCTTTCATCTTAATGAGTTCTATACAAATCGATGACTCGGTCATCGTTCTTGCGAATGGTGAAAACTATAGGTCTATATCTTGTACTCAGCGAAATTTATTCAGAAAATGGCCTTTTGCCTTATATTTTGAAGCGGACATTAGTATTGATTATATTACTACCATCTTAGACATAGTTATCACATAAACTATCATCATGAACATTTGACGATATTAGTCAAAAATTCCTATAAGAAAAAACATCATCAACAATAAATAGCATAAATTTTTATTATAAAAATGACAAAATCACATATGCAAGCTATTGTTTTCAATCTTAACTATCTTCAAGAGGTAAAAATCTAAGTTATGATTCATCGACCATGCACGTCTGGTTTGCTTCTTCAGACCTTTTGGTTGCTTAATTGTCTGAAACGTAGCCTTGATATAAATCCACATGGTACAAGTTCAGGTACAGCAATAACTAAGGAGCTCAATTCTATGCCTATTCATGAATACCAATAGGTATTTCAGAAACCGATTGACCTGATAAAGCTTTGTATCGAAAATCATGGGGAAAGCTTCGAACATTTACTGGAGAAAAGCTTAGTAAAATGTTTTTTCTATAAATAAATATTACTGAGTGACAGAACTTTTCGACTACTCTATCTATAACTGATTTCCTAGATTTTTGTTGTATACTTCCCCTTATCTCTTTATTGTATGTCTCTTCTTTTGTTGTTTTAGGCTCTATAATGCGAAACAGAACTGATACAATCAAAGACATTAAACTAGCCAAAGCCTTTCTCGTATGAAAAACTTTTACAATTACTATCTCTCTGTTTTAATTTGCGACTTCCAACAGTGTTTAGATTTCAAGAAAGAAAAATTTTGGAAGTTGCAAAAATTTCAAGCATTCGTGTTCCAAATTATTCGTTACTGCAAAAAAAGTTGTACTTTCATAATTTCCATGATTTTTTTAAGTTTTCAATTTTTCTAAAACCTTCGATTTACACTGCTATGTGATTATTGAGCTTATGAAAATTTCGGTAATTTTCATTCTCGAAAATCCGAGCACACCTCACTATTTTGTGCAAGAACTTCTTATTATCTTATTTTCATGGAAATAAATTAAATGAACAAGTCGAACTTGAATGATATAATAATGCTGAGTCGTAGAATTAAACATTTACTAAATTATATACGTCCAATGGGCCTGCTCTGACTTGCCGACAGCTCTGTTCTGAGCTTGCTACATATTTTTCTAGTTTCCCATCCTAGCTACTTTTTTTTATTTGGTCTATTCATAAATATTCAAAGATAATTTATTTGTTTAAAGAAAAAGGTATAATAGACAGTAAACAGTACGCTACAAAATTACTGATAAAAATTCGATATTAATGAACCTAATAACAATGATATTCTTGATGCTTGAAACATTGGAACTTCATGTAATCAGTGCATCTATCAAAATTAGACGAGCGAAAACTGATCGCTACGAAAACTAGTTGAAAACTTTATAACTAAAGAATAATAGCTTATTTCAGCTAATCAAGTCATAAGTTAAAGGTTAGCAAATCAAATATTTATTGAAATCACTCATTAATCTCGAGATAATTACAAAGATGTATTGTTTTTTTGATAAATGTATATCGTTGATCATAAAAATATCTTTTTTATTATGACAATATTATGCCAAAAGATTGTGATGAGGTTGTAAATAAACAGCTATCGAAAAAGTTTTAAATCCATCAAAGAATATTTAAATTATAGTCCACATCTGCATCATTTGATTATATACTCTCAAGTAACACCTGTTCACAACAATCAGATGGACTTGATCATGACTTCTAAGCTGCGATTCTTTTCTTTTGTATCTGTGTGACTTATTTGAGTCAATTATGAGCTCCATGTAATATGATTCAGTCAACTTAATTTTTAATATTTATACATTTACACTTGAACGCTCCAACCTTTATTCTACTCTTCCACATTTCACAGCTATTATTAATAACAAATAATTTTAGTTGGATCTTTTTTTGGTTTTATTATCTTTAACTATTACTCAATGGCCGTTCAAATCAGATAATAAGAAATGTCATTCAGCAGAAGACTAGAAGATGACATTCGTATTTCATCTTGATTTTTCTTAATAAGATAATAGATGACCTTATTACTTATCGCAAACGCTAATTCAATGTTTCAAATTCCTCTGTTATCGATCATTTCATTTTGTTTCGTTCCGTAGGAATTGTGATTCAGAAAACAAATCGAATAAAGACTTATCCATTCGATTCAATATACTTATCAAATACTAATAATGTTTTTCAAGATCTTTTGAAACGTAAGCTATGTAATTCAAATATATTAGGCCATTAAATACTGAACTTTCTAATTAATTTTCTCTCAACAAACAAAATCATAAATTTGTTTAATCAACTAAATCGCTTCGTCGATTTGATGAAAACCAATTAAGTCTAGCCTTGAAAAATTTGCCAAATTTTTCTTGATGAAAGACTTTTCCCTAAAAGTATGGACGCAGAAAGCATACTGTAAAACAATTTTGTAGAAGAGAAAATTAATTCGAATTTGTACTGCCCTCTTTACACTAGTCAACAACTACTATTGATTTGAATACCTGTTCTTTCTACTTTGAGAAATCACCAAAGATAGTCTATCATAAATTCTTCTGTCAAAAACGGATTAAAATGGACAATTTCAAGATCGACGTTATCATTAATATGCAGAACCAGTAGTTAAATGATTATTCTTTTTTTAAAACTATATCTAATTTATTATTCAAATGAACTTATTGTCTAAACTTAGAATGAAGACATTTTAACATATTTATCCGTCCAAATTATTTTTCTAAGGTATCGAATTCATAAAACTGAATGCTAAGATCATAACAAAAACAAAATAACTTGCTAGTTCCAATAAATATATTCATATATATTTGCTGACATGAAATTTTATGATTGAAACGTTGATCTTAACCATTTGAATCCATTATATAGAATTGAAGGACTTTTCATTTCTTTATTTGAAGTTAAATATGCTCTACGACATGCAACTTCAATACGTACTAAAGAATGCAATATTGGAATTAAATCATTTGTATTTTTATGTTCTTCTGGTTTCATTGAAATAAAATATGAATACACTGGTCGTATGAGATCTTCATCAATAATAATTTCCCCACATCGATATAGATTTGCATGATATCGAATTAGATTAATACTTGCACATTGACTACTCTCGAATAAATTAATTAAAACTAACAAAATTGTTATTAAGACATTAATCAACATTTAGATTTCGCCTTTTTTGAGCGCCAACAATGATTTTAGAACTTTTTATTGACGTTCAAATTAAGAACATAATCCATACACAAGAAAAAATTAACTTAAATTAAGGAGAAAAAATATATATTGTTTCCAATCAATCACTTAACGACCACCAGTGATTGAACCATGAAGGTTGTTGATGGTTTCCGAGAGTGAACCAAGAACATTGAGACCATGACCAACAAGTTGTTCTTGAAGTTGTTCCCAGTGTGGTTTTGAGGC